GACTTCAAAAAAGGTGCGAATTATTATGGAATCACTGAAGCAATAACTATTCAACGGGTTTTGAATTTTATGGTTGTCTTAATTATAACTATTAAGGATCTTTATGAACAATAAAATGTTTGGTATTTAGATTTTTTAAAATATTGAGCACGTATAACAATCTGAGATAGACCTATTTTATAAAAATATGTCTATTATTTCCATTGTTAATTATAACAATAATTTAATTAGTGGTGTACCTTTTTTAATTGATTTTTCAAAAAAGGCGCTATACCTAAAAAATATGTAGAGACCTTTCTTGAATTGATTATTTTATCTAAAGTGTAGGTTTGCACAGCCAATGGGAGAGGCTTAGCTCTTAATGTCTCTGGATAAATAACTGATTTTCATTATTAAATCGAGTTTTTGTTAATATTCTTTAAGCAATTAAATTTGATTAAATATTTATAATAATTAAGCAATTATTGTTAGTTCGGTTTATTAAAATCTACAGTGTTTAATTTCCTATTAGGATGTCGTGATTATCTATGTAATTGTTTTGAAATCTTTTTCGGATACATTATATTTATATTATCTATATTCGTTTTAGTTGTATTAAAATATAAATGTCTTCTTAAATGAACTTTTAAGAATTTGTAAAGGGATTTTAAAAATCTTTATTATCATAAGTGTTAAAGAAAATTCTAAACAGTGGAATTTAAAAATTAAAGAGTTATTGTTAATGTATAAGACAGTTAATGTATGTAGACTATATTTTAAATTAAAAACTATGTATCGTTTGAATCATAAGCGTTAGAATATGAAAGGCTACAGGATCACCTAAAAACTTACGAACCAGAGAAAGACCTAATAATACCAAAATAAAAAAAATATCTGGGCACCCAATTTTAGCTATACTCCTCTATTTGAAAAATTAGGTAATTAGGTAAATAAATGGTCAGTACTTAATATTGTATTAACAAATGAATTATTGTTGAATATTATAATGTTTAGTTTTCAAATCGTCATTTGTTAAAAAACAAAAAACATTATAAAAACCTATATATTTTGTATTTAATATAAAATGTCACTAAAGTATTTAAAATGTAATTTAATTTTATTGAATCGAAAATGTTAATAAAAATTATCATTGCACAACGAATTCCGACAGCATAAAGAAGAATTAAAAAGTACGGTTGTTGTCCCAGTAATTCATTTTTGTTTAATTCGAACGGCAACGTTTTTTTACTATAATAATCAATATATTTATATTAGCCAAGATCTTTTATGATTGTTTAACTTCCAAAGAAACTGTTCTTTTCTTGGCAACGTTTTGTTGAACAATTATACTTTTCGGCTAATAGGTTTCACACAACGTGTGTTTTTATAATGAAAAAATAATGATGTCGCGGCTGTGTAATCGGATAGTGTGACTAGTTCGGTAATTCACATCAATTTACTTCGGTTCATCGGTTGCCGATTGTTACCATAAAATAAAGTGAAGCGCCTTGGATCTTATACTGTTATGTCTTTGTTTTGAATCTTGGTTATCTTTTTTTAAGCAAAACTGTACTTTTATTGACTTGTTAAATTCATCATTAGTATTTATAAGCTTTGATGATATTAAACATGAACACGTCATACGACGATTACGATGATTGAATTTTTTCCTATCATTGACAATCACGCAAAGAAAAAATTATATGGTACTTAAGGATTGTTTAAAATTTTTTTTTTTAATTTTACTTCGGATGCATCTTAATTTTTTAGTATTACTCTAATATTTTATTAAATAGAAATTTTAACTCGCTAAAGAAAAAATACATTACACCTATTCTTTATAATATTATGTTAATCAAAATATTAATATTTATACGGTTTTGGAATTATTTATAGTCTCTACAGTTTAAAATCAAAATTCAATTGTGTTAATTTATAATATATGTAACTATACTATTGAATTTCTTGTAAGATATACAACATTTTTATGTACGTAGAAATTGTTTTGATAAATATATCCTAGTAAAAATATTTCAAGTTAATAATTACTATATATTAAATATTAGTACTTCATAAATACTTTATGTCTACACTAGTACTTACAGATTAAACATTATTTAACTTGATAGCAAGTGTACTTAATATTTAAAATTTACTTTTCTTTGGAATGCGGATTTTATTGTTCATTTGTGATCATCTTATAAAACAGGGATGGGCAACTCAAAGTTACTAGAGGGCCAATTTTTTAAAAATTAAAATCTAGCGGGTCAGAGCATAGAAAGCAAAAAAAAAAAAAGGTCATTCAAAATGTATATTTTAATTAGCATTTTTTTGTTTATAATGTAATAATACAAAAAAGGTTATTAAAATAATATAATAATTAAATATAAATAGATATTAGTTTAGTGTGAGTTTTGAGCATGGGTAGCTTCTAGTGACAACGCGGCAAAATCGACTTCTATTTCGGAAAAAGAAATACGAAGTAGGTGACTTAATATTTCATCTGTAAGTCAATTTCTATGTTTTGATTTAATATGTTTCATGTTTGAATGTACAACATTCACAAATGTTTCCAAACATGGATAACATTTTTAATGCGAACTTTCGTAAAAGGGGATATTTTAGAATAGGTAATTTTTTTCAAAAGCTTATGTCAATCTCTTTTGTAGATAAACTTTAAAAATATATGTTGAAATTTGAAAATGTAGCGTGGCCAAGATTAAAATGGCTCGCGGGCCGGTCTTTCAATAAGTCTTTTATAATATAAAAGACTGATTGAATAAATAACAATTATCTGTCATAGTTTGTATGAACTCTCAAACGATTCCTTAATATATTTAATTTCAACTGAGGAAAATCACTATACTAAAACTTTTAAAGCTAGGCAGTTATTCTCTTTAGTCTATGAAAAATTACGCACGATGATTAAAATGATTGAAAAGCGAAAAATTACTATTAACAGAATAGATTATTTTTGGAATCTATAATCATTTATTTAAATTTTTATCTTTATTTTAATAAAAATCTTCCATTTTCTCTTGTTATACTTATATTATTTTAAGTAAAAGATAAGTATTATAATCATTAATTACATCTCTTAAAATATTATATTCATTTGCCACAAGATATTGTATTTAATCGGTTATTATAGCTGTTTATTTTAAATATTATTCATAAAAAAATATCTGTACTATAGATCGTTTAAATTTAAGCGAAAGAATAATTATATCGCTTACATTTCATTAATTATTATTGAAACAAGTAATGAAAAAAAAATTGTCTAATATTTAATCCTATAATTGATAATACTTAAGTGATAAGCAATCACATTAAAGCATGAGATAATCAGAACAGTAATTGATAACGAGCCGGAGATTCAAAGAAAAATAAACAAGATCAATTTTTAATTCGTCACACCTTATATTATTTTTATGTATGTATTATTTATTTGCTTGAAGGTATTAAATGTTAATTTGCAGTTTTTTCCAAACTCAATGACACAATTTCGAAAAGGTTAAAAGCTACTTTAGTAACATAATAACCTAGTTCAAGAATAATAATTTTTACTGTATCCAGAAGCAAAGTTAACTAAATTGTTATTTTTATTTCCTAATTACGCTGTTCCAATAAAAAAAAAATATATAGGTACTCTTTAAGTTATTTACAATAAATATTTTCTTATATTTTTTTGGAACAAAATACGACGTTGTTGCATAAGTAAGAAACTAAAGAAGACGAGCCAACGTCCGTTTCGCTTTAACATTAGCACAAGGACGATGATATGTCACAGTTAATTCGCCACATAACGTGTGCAATAGATTCAAGTCGTTAATTGTTAAATAAAATATAATGATACCTATTAAATTTTTTTTACAAGAAAAGCTCTAAAAAAGAGCTATTTTAAAATTTTAAAAAAGTTATAAAATAAAAACAAATACAACAAAATGATAATTATATCAAGAATTATAAGAATTGGAAATTAGTACTGTTTTATTTAGTATATTCAGAAAAATAAGTATCTAAAAGCAAGTAAAAAAAATTCATAATATCATTTTTTGACTAATTAAGTATTTCATCATAAATTTATCACACTATATAGATGGACTTATTAAAGATACTAACATATTTTTTTTCGTTATATAATCTTTTCATAAAAATGTATAAATTAAAATTTGATTTTTTTTTTATAGTATCATGTATATTTTAAAAATAAATTATGTCCAACAGTAGTTTTAATGATAACTTTTAAAATTTAAATGGTAAAAGTGAAAACATAATTATAATAAGGGCAATATTACCAATAAATGAATATGACTGAGTTTTTAACTGAAATATTGTTACCTCATTATCTGATTGTAACAAGTTGTACTTTTATTACAAAGAAAATATAAAAATTAAGTCCTACGTGTTAAATTGTTCATTAACTGGAAAATTATATTTTCAATATAAAATGATTAATCAAAATTTTTGCGATAGTAATTATAAATATTTTTACATTGTTATTAAAAACAATTTTTCATAGAACAAATATTTATTTACTTTGCGAGGATGTTTGTTAAATTATTAATTAATAGAGAATTTTATAAGATGAATAACTTTTTATTGTTTATTTCCTGATGAGTCATCATATAATAAATGTAATAATATGTAAATATTTCTCCTCATTTTTAATACTGTTTGTAAATAATTGAACATTGAAAATCTACTAAATTGAATTTAATATAGGATTTAATGATAGTATCATTATAGAAAAATTAATTTTTTTGAATTTATCTTGTCATATATTTTCATTCTATAAGAAAATATTATTTTTGTAGTTTAATTATTAGCTTATACTTTAAAATAATTTATCTAAAAAAAAAAAAATTATGCATAAAAATTAAATTTAAATTTATAATTATAATTTTAAAATATACTTTAAATTATTTCAAAGATTAATAAAATAAGAATTAAGTAACTCTTACCTACTATAATGATTTTATACATATTACTCAAGTTTTTAATGTAATTAAATTTTATAGGATCTATAAACTAATGTGATAACCATCATGGTGGGTATAGGTACCCGATGGCTGGTCACACTGTGTATGCTATCAGCAGTCCAATGTGTACCTTCTAGGGTTACTCATCAATCAAATACCGATTCTGAAGACTCAAGAAAAGTACTTGGATCAAGGTTAATTGTACAATATAATTTTTGGTTATTAATTATTTATAATTTTAATATGATATAATAATATTTTAATTGCAGTGTTGTCACTTCAGTATCTGTAATTATGGACCACGGTAATGGAACAAAAACATACTTATCAGATGGACAAAGTAAAAACGTTCAAAAACAATCTGAAACTCTTATAGGTAGTCCTGGACATTTATTGTCACCAGATCGCTATGAGTTTTATACTTTCGATGAAACTGGAGACTTAGTTAAACGACTTATGACTCTTGATGAAATACATGGCTTAATTGCAGGAGCAGATCCAGAATCTGATTTAACTGATGTTTCTCCTACATATTACCACGATGCACTATCAAGTCATTCTTCAGAAGCTTTAATGCATTTACCTGCAACAGATCTTGAATCTTTAGATGCACCTGCTGTTCATAAAGTCTTAGAAAAAGTACAAAACGTACTTAAGACTGAAATGGCTGCTAATTCAGGGAATCCTTTAACTTCTATATCAGATATACCTCTACACCATCAAGAAACATCTTCTGCTTGGTCAGCATTATTCCCAGGATTAATTGAAACTCCAGATGATGTAGCACATTTATCTGGATATTTGCTTCCGTCAAAGATAGCAGAATCAGCTACAAAAACGTCATTAAAAAAACCCATATCGATAACAAAACAACCGCACACTACAACAACTCATAAATTTTCAACAAACAAACTATCATTGTCTACAACTGCGTACCCATCAGTGATTATTACAGAAACATCCAAATCGACACCTAAATACACTACTAATACTCCTCCCGAAGTAATTAGTAAATTAACACCTATTCAAACATCCACTTTCAAATCATCTACAACTAAAAAACCTTTTAAACCAATACAGTCATTTGATAAAGAGAAACCTACAATATCAAATCCAACATTAACTTTAAAACCAACTGATAAATTATCAGCTATGGTTGCAGATAATCTTAATATTAATAAAGAAATGTCGGCATCAATTTCAAACATGCTGTCTCAAGTGACAGATAGTCATTCTATTAATAATAGCCCCATACAATCGAATACTTTAATCGATAAAGAAAATACAGCAGATTACCTACCAGAAGAAAGTTCACCAGAGCTAAGCTATTACAATCCTGCGGAGATATCATTGAGTACTGTAACATCATTAAAACCAGTTGCAGAATCTTTAACGACTGCCAAAAAGCATTACACTACAGTTTCTTCTAAAAGTACGACTACGGAAATACCTTTTTTACAAAAAAACCCTTCAATCACCAAATTTGTTCCTAATAAATTTAATTTAACTAAATTAAGACCACCAACAAATTTTACTGTATCTTCTGTAGTCACCAAAGCACCTCCGCCATCTTTTAATAACAAATACAATGGATCTTCAATTCAAGCTACCACTGTTTCTTCGGTCAGAAATAATTATCATTATCCACCCAGTAATATGTCAACTAAATATATGCAGAAGATTACGCAAACTACACAAGTTTATCCAAATATTACCAATAATAATTTCATAAATTCTACTGAAAAACCTATTAATAATATTCATCATTTCAGTACGAAACAACCTTCAAATAATAATTTTAATACTACCGAAAAGGTTCAAAATAAGTTGAAAGAGTCAAATGATACAAATTGGAGTAGTACTGAAGGGTTTAAAAATTACAGTATTATATCATGGAGTACTGACGGCTATAAAAATAAATTTAAGGAGCCAAGTGTTACAACTGCCAGTACAATCGAATTCAAAACAACATTGAAAGAGCCAAACAAAGTATTTGCAAACAAACTATCCTCTTCAACCAGACCAAATCTTATAAATAGGCCAAATGTTACTTTATCAAATCGTATACAAGAACATAAAATCACAACTTTATCTTATGGGTCGACAATTAATTCAACAACTATCAAAAGTCCTTCAGAGTCTGATGAATACATTTCAGTTAAAGCTGATCCATGGCCTACGACTACTACACTACCGACAGTTACAACTTTAAATACACCATATGTTAGTAGTACTCCGAAATCGTTTAGTTCGAGTAGTAGTCTACCTTTTAATTCTATACCTGACACTAACACTATAAAAGAACTTATTTCGTCATTAATGACTACATCTACTGTCTCAAATATTAGTAGCGTATCAAATTTGTCGGCAACTTCTGAAGCTGAACAAAAAACTACATATATCACATCTACAACGACAGTGGCATATCAAAAAAATGCATCTGAAATGCCATTACCAATAGCTTCTTCTACTACCCAATTACCAACGACTCTAACAACTACATCAACTGTCGTTCCTATTATAACTTCTGCGTCGACAACAACAGAAGCTATTACAACTCCTCACGTTTTACCATCTAGTTTAAAAGAAAATTTAGTGATGAATAATACTAAAGCAACATTAGGAACATCATTTACATCTACTACTTCTGAATCGGAAATACAGTATGTACCCGTAACACATTTCTTACAAGAAATTCAAACAAACAGAAGTCCAGAATTCGAAAAAAATACTAGTAGTACTCTTGGAGTTGATTCTCTTCTTAAAGATGGTATAACTGCTGTAACTAATATGCTTCAAAATACACAAAAACCAACTATTATGAATACTGATCACCAACTTATAAGTAGTAGTTCTTATGAAAATACAACTATTAAAATTACAAAACCACCCTCAACAGAACAAGCTAGAACACAAACAACAACCCCATTAGAAACAGAAGACGTTTCTTCTGTAACTACGGAAAGCTTAACGCCACAAGAGTCATATGAAATGACTACAACTGAGATTAATACAAAACTACCTGTATTAAAAGATACAGTTGCAATGGAGTCAGTTACAGATAATAGTAATCATGATTTATTTCGTATATCTGAACAAGGATTAGAAATGCTAACAATATTTAATGTTAGCTCAACTGGTGTTCCTGTACAAGCGGGTAAACTTGCCGATTTGCCAGCAGAATCTCCAGTAGTTTTTGATAGCACTATTTCATATGAGAATCATAGCATTGAACCTTCAACAAACATTGAAGAAATATTAACCACTGCTCGAGCAGTCGTTTCATCGTCTACAATAGCTTCAAATGAATCTGATTTGAACCAAACAAAGCAAGTTTTAGTAGAAAATGTTAAGGCAACATTATTACCTGAAAATTATACTACACAGCTTCCACTTCTAACAACTACTTTGCAAAATATTAAATTACCCAGTTTTTCATCTAATGTGTATAGACCATTATCTAATGGTGTGTCACCTTCTACTGTTGAACTTCATCCTGCACCACATGAAAGTATGGGATTAGAAGCCAGTGTTGCGTTCTTGGGAGACGATGTTCGAAGATTTGTTGACTTATGTAATGAGCTCTCATTTAAGATGTGGACGACCATTACCGGCAAAGGTCTAATAGCTTCAAGAAGTTTAGTATTATCACCATTTGAGCTGACTGCAATGTTGGCTATGGTATTTCTAGGTGCTAGAGGCTCAACTTCTGGACAAATGAACGATGTTCTTCGATTAGATGATATGGTTACGTTCAACCCACATCAAGTACTTAGAAACGTTACTCAGTCTATAACTGACACCAATATACCAGGTGTTGCTACTGCGTCATTTGTTCGAGAAATATACAGCCACAAGGTTTGTTAGAATTTATAAAAATGTTATCACAAGAAAAGTGTAAGTAATTATTGTTAAAATTTTACAGGAAAATGGAAAAATATTAGACTTTTACAAAGAACGTGTTCAACAGTATTATGATGGACATGTTGAAGAAGTAGATTTTAACACTATAGGAGATATTTTAAGAAGACGAACAAATTTATTAGTTAAAAGACAGACATTAGGTCGCGTAGTTGAATATCTACGAGGATCAAGTTTAAGTCTCACTCCTCCTTTTGCAGCTTTCAGTGCTAATGTATTCCAGGTAATTAATTGGAAAATATTCAATTTATATCACAACATAGTTTTTACAAAGAAAATCTAATAACTATTGAGTTTTATCTAAAAAGCATAATAAAAAAGTAATGTAAAGTAGGGATCCAGTAAAATGAAATTGAGGCATTTTTAAGATTAGTTTTGAATGATATTTGACAGTGATTAAAATTACCTTCGTAAAACGCTTAGATGCATATTTCAACATATTAAAAAGGTGTGGAATGGGCATAATGATAAATAGGGATACGAAAAAAGCTCGGCAAAGTAAAACCAATAGTAAAATAATAAGAATTGATCATTTGCAGCTAATATTTTTATTTTAAAATCTATAGCTTCTCAGCTATGTATCAAAACTAATAGTATATTAAAATTTATAACAACATTGCCTACATATATAGTTGTAATAAAAATTTGAGGCTACGTCGAATATGTGATTTATGTTACCTCTACCTAACTATCATTTATTTATATATCATATTTTAATTTCCAATGACGTACAGCTAATAAGTATAAATGTATTTTATATACGATATAGTTAATAAAATGAATCTGATGTAAATTTTCAAAAAAAATTAATCATGAATTTTATCTTTATATTAATTATAAATTCAAATTTATTTAATAAATTGTATTAAATTAATTTGATTTACTTTCAAAACAATTTAAACACTTTAAGTTAGTTTAACTTTTAGTTATTAAGATTTAAGAGTATTCATGTTTTGACGCATATATTTTTTTATAGACAAGTTGCGAGACCGCATCGACCGATGGAAGAGATGGCGAAATGTACTTTGTGGTAAGGCCATCAACAAGACAGCGCAGATTAGTGCCGATACCCGCTGCTGTTTGGAAAAATGGATTTTTGGCTGGATACGAGCCTGGCTTAGATGCCACTGCAGTCAGTTTAAGTCCAGATTCTATTGTATCTACTATATTAATATTACCTGGTCAACAAGGACAAGTGGCACCAGGAGATGGATTGACAAGATTAGAACAACGCTTAATTGAAACATCATATCGAAGAGGTGGATGGTCACGAATTCTAAGAAGTTTATTACCCAGACCGGGACTTGAACTTCAGATACCAAGATTTTCACATAGATCTGTTTTAAACACGACAATTGCTTTGCAAAAAATGGGTCTTAAAGAAGTTTTTAATGGACAAAAAGCCGATTTGAGAGGAGTCAACGGGTTATATGATTTATACTTGTCTGACATGCTTCAAGTGAACACATTTAGCACTTGTGGAGAAGACGTAATTGGTGCTAGACATCATGTAGAAACATATCCAGCTTCCCCTCAACGAATGGGTCGAATTGAAAGATTAGCTGAAAAAAAAAGACGTAAGAGATATGCCAACTCTGCTGTTGATTATTTTCAAAATCCATATTCCCACCTACCACTAAATTTGAGACCTCGACAGGCCAGATTGCCAGATTCCCCAAGATTAAGATTTGATAGGCCATTCTTATATTTAGTTAGACACAACCCGACTGGTATGATTTTATACTTAGGCAGATTCAATCCAAGATTATTACCTTAAAATATTTGTATAGTGAATTATTTTAAAATACCAAAGCTTCTTAATTTGTTTAATATATTTCTTTTAAAAAAAATGACTAAAATTTATTTATTAATTTTATGGAAAATATATTAACTTGTTGTATTCATAAATACAGATTAACGTAAAATATTAACGTTGATCATGGAATAGGTTCTCCAGGTAAATGTATAAAATTATCCTAAATATTGTGTACGTTATATTAAATTGTTGTATACGTTGCGTTATTACGTTTTTATTTGTTAATAACTTTACTCTACAAGTTAGTTCAAAATTATAGGTCGATTTCACTGACATTATACAAAATTACTTATTATAATTAAAATATTTTTAAAATATCGATTTAACATGTAAGTGTTTTTTAATAAATAAATGACTATAAAGCTGTAGGATACTTGTATAAAATAATTTATGATCTTGGTAAAATCGACTTCTAAATAAAAATAGTATTAGAATAGTACAGGAAGAAATAATTAGAAAAAATACTCATTTTTACTTTAGATAAAAAAAAGTTAGTCATAAGTATTATACCCAACTAAAAAAACTGTTGTATCTCATAATTTAAAAAAAATTTCCGTGTAAAACAGACTTTTCATTTAGTAATTTGAAATTTAATTATTATTTTTTATTATGTATGAAAAATGTGAGTATATAATAAACTTATTACACCTTTCTCTGTGCTTTTCATTTACTATCTAAAATTATCATTTCGAATTTTTTTAAATAGTAATTATTATGATTTAAATTTGTATACTTACACTTGAAAACTAAGATATTTATGTATATTTGCAATAATACTACTATATTTTATTATGATATAATTTGTGATATATTTTGGCAATATAATATAATAATAATTTTACTATTGTTAATAAATACTGTGCAATACAAAATAAATTGCCTTATATATTTTTGTTTCTCGAAAATTTCAAAATACTTATGACATATAAACATAATTATTATATTATTATATTAAATATATTTAAATGTTTATCACGGTATTTATAAAGTTATTATGATTTTTATTTTTCTTGTATGACTACAATTAAATTTTTTTATATATTGAATAATTTTTATTTTTACTAAATAAAATGCAGAAATATATATTTATTATTAGTGTTATTTAGTTTAACCAAATTCATTAAATTTTAAAAATATATTATACTACATTATGAAAGATTGATAAAATAATAAAAAAAACTTTAAAATAAACTCTTTGAAAAAAGTCTTAGGCTCTATGCATCTTAATTAATTTTATTAACTACGAATATATAGGCTTTGGTCCAAAGTATCATTCTGATAGTCGCAAAATTGAGATTACTAAATTAAATTTTATTATTAAAAAAAAATCATTTTATTTGAATAAGTCCTTCTCCATTGCTGGTACTAATTTGTGATATCCTAGGTAAATTAAAAAAACGGGTCCTCGAAATAAATTATTTTATACTAAAGTTATTTTTTATTATGCAGAGCTAAAAATCACAAAAATCGCAGGGCTTTAGGCATACATCCTTTTAGCTCTGCCCTAAATTCGGCCTTGATTCTTTCATAAAATTTTAACCACACTACATAATTAAAACATTAGAAATAATTATTAACATCTGTATAGGGCAAACTTTTTTCTAGATAACTATTCGTAAAAATATTTATTCAAATAAAAAATTATTGGAATTATTTTCTAACATAATTTTTTGAATAAAAATGTATTCGTATAGTTTTGAAACATCATATTCAAGTTAAAATAATACTAATTATGAGATCTAAATCAGATTTATTTTAATAATAATACATTTTTATTCAAATAATTTTAATTATTAATAAAAAATATTAATAATTAAAATGTCTACTATCATTGAAATCACAGTATCAGTATGTCAAACTGTGTATAACAAATATTTATTAAATAATATTAATATTGATTTATTAATAATGACCCTCGTAGTTTATCCTAAGGTGCTAATCAAGATATACCCCCGTTGACTATAAAAAACATTATAAGTAAAAATCATCCAAAAAAAAGTTGTTAAATTTTTTTCTATATGAACCGTCTATCTCTGAAAGAATTTGAGTATATACTAATAGGTCAGTTAGTTTATGATAAAGAGTAATAATTTATGTCTCATAATATTTTGACAACTAATAATTTCATACATTAAAATGTCATACTCGAAAAAATGCGAAAACCATCATAAATATGAAATGTGCTATAAAATATACTGAGTATTGAGTAAATTTTAATAATTTTTGAGTAGTATATTTAAAATTTCAATTGTATCTTATGCAAATCGATATTTCGTCGTCTGAGAATAAAATGGTTCAAACACAAAATCGATGATTTTTCAGTGGCCGTCTTTAAAAACACAATTTTCTAGAGTTCTATGAAACTTAAAATTTTAAATTTAAATTGTTTAATTAGTGTAATTATATTATTTAAGACTTAAATAATACATATTTATGTTTTTAAAAATATTTTACGTTCTAAGGGGGTAGTGATCTTTCCTAGATCTCCCAAAACAAAATATCCAATTATATACTCAGTTAAGAAAAACAAACATTAATATCTGTTTATCATTCATATACTTGGGATGTATAATATAAACTTTATAACTGCACATAGTTTATATTAGCTTATAATATAAGCTAGTTTTCGATTTAAGCAACAGATTTTTAGCCATAAGATAATACAGAACAATTCTTTTATCACGAACCATTTATCTAATTGAAAAATAAAAATAATATTAATAAAATTTTTTTTGGTTTCTTTTAGTTACTTATTTTTTTCAATTTATTAATCATGAAATATTTTTATGTTCATACCTTATAACTAGAGGTCGGAATTATATTCTTTAACATATTTTTTTTGAGCGTATGTAGACATGCGGGGGTTCGAAATCTTTACAAATCGGGAAACAAAGATATCAATAGCAAAAGTTTTTTTTGCATATTTGAGAATATTTTAAGTTAAAAGAATATTTTGCTTAAAAAAGAATATTTGAGAATATTTCGATTAATTTTATGGAATTTGGATTTTTTTTGTTGCTTTGACCAAAATTATACATAATATTATACTAAATAAATTTAGTCTGTTATTTTTTAGAAAACTATGTGTAGACTTATGATTAAAATGCTTTACAAGTCATGTAAAGTAGAAATGAATTAGAAAAACATTATAAAAATAACTCTAAATATTCGTTTATCATTATAAATGATAATCATTATTATCGTGTTCCTAGAAGAGGTAGGTACAAAGATTATTGTACAACATAAATGATGTAAGTGTGTGGTTGAATTAGTTGACATTCAATCTGTCTATCGTTCTTTGTCGCTCGTCGTGTATACGTAGTATTATCATACCGAGTGTAGTTTCATTTCTTTTAGTTGTTTGTTTTTAATTACTTATTTTCCAAAATGCCGAAAACCCCACCAAGCAAATTAAAAAATTTAATTGCTCAGTGGATACTACCACTAAATAAAGATAATGTAAACTTTAAAATTGATGGGACGACTCTTTTTTGTCAACTGTGTGACAAACACATACCATGCATTAAAAAGTCTCAAATAATCCAACATGTGAACACATCATCACACCAAGAAGCTTTAAAGCGTAAGTCTAATAATCCAAAACAATTGTTTTTATCAGAATCTACATCTAAAAAAAATGTAAATGAATTCTATGAAGACCTATGTTTGAGTTTAATTGCTGCTAATATACCGTGGTATAAGCTACAAAATCCACAATTTCGAGCTTTTTTAGAAAAATATACTGGCAAACATATACCTGATGAAAGTTTATTACGAAAAAATTATCTTTCCCTTTGTTATGATAAAACTTTAACTAAAATAAAAAATGATATTGGTAAAAATAACATTTGGATCGCGGTTGATGAGACAACAGATATAAACGGTCGTTATGTGGCCAATTTATTGGTTGGAATATTAAAGTCAAATCACCCAACTCGTTCTTTTCTCTTGACATGTAAAGTTTTGGAAAAAACTAACCATTCAACAGTGGCTCGAATTGTGAATGATGGATTAAAATTACTGTGGCCCTCAGGTGGAAATGATGAAAAAGTTTTGTTGATGCTCTCGGATGCTGCACCATATATGGTAAAAACTGGTCAGTCATTAAAAATATTTTACCCTAATTTAATCCACGTAACATGTGTAGCTCACATGTTTAATAGGATCGCAGAGAAGGTAAGAGAAATGTATCCAGACGTTAATAAATTAATTAACAACATAAAAAAAGTATTTTTAAAAGCTCCGTATAATGTTCAAGTGTATAAAGAAATATTACCTGACATTCCATTACCCTTAGAACCAGTTTTGACAAGATGGGGAACTTGGTTGGAAGCTGCTATATTTAATTGTGATAACTTCCAAAGTTTAAAAAAAGTTATAGAAGAATTGATAAAGCAGAAGTCTCCTAGTCAGTCTATACTTAAATGTAAAACAGTTCTTGACTTAAAATCTGTAGAAAATGACCTTATATTTATTAAGACCCATTTTCTTATGCTTATAACATGCATAAAAAATCTAGAAAAATCAAATGTGTCTCTTGTTGATTCGATAAATCTCATTGAAAATACAATTGTTAAACTTCAACAAATACCTGGAGAAAATGGAGAAAAAATTAAAATTAAAATGGATCAACTTCAACAAAAAAATCAGGGACTCTCAATTTTAAAAAACATATCAAAAGTCTTGGAGGGAAATAATGATGTACAACTTGTAGGTAATTTTCCACCTACTGTGGTTACTGATTTTCAGTATGCTCCTGTGACTTCAGTAGACGTTGAACGTTCGTTCAGTACGTACAAAAATATTTTGTCAGATCGCCGTACAAAAATGACACCAGAAAATATGGAAATGAACATAGTTGTTAATTGTTTCCAAAGAGGAGAATTCTCTTAATTAAAATTATGTCATTATTATAATTTTATCAAGCTGATAACATTTTAAGTCAGATTTTTTTAAGTTAAATTATATAATGTAATGTATTGTTTATTTGAATATAAGAAAAAAGTATTTCAGTTAATAGGTAGAATTGTACCACATTAATTAATTTTGAAATATCAGATTAAATGTTAGGTTAAGATTTTTTTGTAATAAAAGAATATTTTCAATTTCGGAGAATATTATCTTGTATATGCATATATTTTGAATATTAACGAAAATTTTTAAAGAATATTAGAAGAATATTTTCAATTTTTTAGGAGAATATTAGCATCTTATTTTGACTATTTTAAAAGAATATTATTCCGACCTCTACTTATAACTTATTAAAAGTCAACTTTATTTTTTCAATTGCCAATATACATAATTAACTAGTTTATTTAATAGATAATAATCCAATAAACAAAATGACTGGTTGATGACAACTTTTGGACTATTATTTCAGAAGTTATTAGCAATTTAAAGTAATGACTGGAAGTGAAGCGAGAGTGCTGCTATTTTGATCACTCGACATTTCCTACTCCCGCCAAGTTATAAATATGTTTATAACTCCTGAAATATGTATATTTTTTATTGATATATTTATTTATTTATACATGCGCTAATTATTTTTTTTCTTTAAACAAATGCCATAGATTTTTAACTTTTTAATTGACTTAACAAAGGTTATATCTCATTTTCAACCATTTTGCATAGGCGTCCGTTATCAAAAAGGTAATACACAAACGTGAATGTTAAAACTATTATTAAACTATTAAATACGAGTTGAAATAAATTTTTATATATATTATTACAATCTATTTTTATAAATCGATTTATCATTATCACGTATTATTATTGTTTATTTATACATACGTATTATTATTTTCGTATAATATTGTTGATTAAGCAAATGATCAAAGTTTATAAAAACAATAAATATGTAAATATTCAATCATATAAGAAGGTGTATTTGTTTGTCATTCTAATTATACAATTGTAACAATAACTCTTACTCAATTTGTCAGGTAATGACAAAATAGGTGAAATTATTTGATAAATATTTTAACGAATTGTTTTAAAAAATTCATTAAATATTGTTGACTTCTCAAAATTTGAATGATGTAGTTAATAATTTATTTTTAGACCTCAAAATTTACTTTTCTTTGAGCATGACCAATAGGAATGACTGTGTTGTCAATGGTAAAACTTAAAGTTTATTTAATACAACTTACTTAATCGACTGACCTTTAACCTAAATATGAGAAAATATTGTACAGTTAAAATACAACATTAGTCAACAAATATTAACAACTTACAGTTAAACAAAGGTCGGTCTCGTGATATTTGTTTACTACGTGAATATTTATTGTAATTTATACCAAAGTGAAAAATCTATAACTGATATAATTTCAATTTTCTATTCTGATAAAATACTATTAATATAATAAATATATTTTCGATTAAAAATTAAAATAAATCGTTCTTTTACAAAAAAAATAGTATAATATAATAAAGATTTTATAAAAATAGATGACAGTTAAAAGATTTTAAACTATAAGAATTAATTTTTTTAATTTTATTAGAATTATGTAAATATTATGTGTTGACATTTCGTTTGATTAAAAATGTATATTAATAAGTTGGCAAATTATAGATTATTTAATTATCTTATGAATATTTAGCATTAATAAGTATTCATAAAAATATTAAAATGTCATATATAATAAAAATCAGTAGGTTCATTGCATCAGATGGCACTTTTTTGGGAAAAAATTTCACTAAAACACAGTAATTTATTTATACTACATATTCTCTTTGATTTTCAGACGAAAGTATTTAAATAAATCAAAAGCATTTTATTTATTTTGACTATGTTTTCCATTGTTAACTTAAAAGTTAAAAGAATAACATGTTACCGCCTACTAAGCTGACACTCCAGGGCGTAATTATTGGACTTTACCTTTGATAAAAACATACTGTCATTTATAAGGTAGACTTAGACGAATATAATGCCTTAGAAAAAATTGTGTGCTGACGTGCATTGTAACACACGTCTTAGATAATATAAACGCCTCATTAACTACTTATAGAGATAAGCTCACTCAATGCCGATCAGAAATACGCATAGAACGTCGGTATAATCTTTATCAAAACTATTATTATTTTAGTTGTAAAAACTGTTGATAATATTAATTGTATTTTTTCGAATGCAGTCTTTGACGGAAATCAGTTTCCCCGTTAAAACGTATATGAGATATAGACAAATACAGACATGAGAACACCATACGACACTCCCAAACCAAAATCCTACGACTATATCACCATAAATAGGTTTCATTTGCCAGATGATGATGAATTCATCGATGATTTTTGTGTGATTGAAAACGTGAGTAGATGATATATTTGATTTTAAGTTAATAGTGTTAGTATTATTTCTCCACCATAGGAAACTTGTATAAAATATAAGGTTGTTTAGGTAAAGGAGAAGATATCTGATAAATAACTTATAATTGTCAATCTTAGTAAAATATGTTTAGAACTATTGATATTTAAGTTTCATTAAAACAAATAACAAAAAATTTTAAATTATTGAATATTTATATAACCATAAAAAATGTATTACTTATGATATAATCAATTTTTTTAAAAATAAATTATAACAATTAATATTTGTGTGTTTAAGGTAAAAATATTTGTTTGAAGTCCTAATAATTGTGTATAAAATTAAAAAAAAAATTCTGACGCCAACAAAAAGGTCAAGGTTATAGTAATATTGTTATTTCTACGTATCAGGAATAAAATTCATTAAGTATAAAAAATGACGATTACAAATCGTGAATAACCTAAGACATGACACATTTTACTTAAAATCCTTTCTTTTAAAGATTAATTCGATGTAATAAAATTGTATTTTTGATTGTGTAATAAAATTTTCTTAATTTTTCACACCAATATAAATTTATCATTGAAAACTCTTAGAAGTCCTTATTAGTATTCATTGATGTATTGACAATTTTGTTTAATTTTTTCCAATATATTTATTAAAATCCGCGACTGTTTAATAGTCACAGTATTTTTCGTGTAATAATATTAGGATAGCTATAATAAAAATTAAAAATCCGACGGAATAATTAGATATTTAAACAATATTACAAATACAATACAGTTATCTATTTTTATTATTTCTATAATGATAATGGGTTTTATAGTTTAAACCCGATTTAAAACCTAAGGAATTAAAGTTCTAAGCCATATTTTCTTAATACTCTTTATCTTAAGTTTTTTCGTAGAAGTAATAAATGTATAAAATTTGTTTTTTAGTTATTTGTGATGATTTTATTTGTATACATGATTAGTGAAAAATAGTCCTACTTAACAACTTTATTGTTATATTAAAATTCGAGACTAGTAAACAGTAATGATGGGAATTATCAGAACAATCTGTGGATTTGTGTTGAAAATTCGAAACGATTTATGTTTTAAAATATCAATATTCTATAAATTATAATTCATACTGAAATGATGAGTATAGCCGATGCGATTGGAAAGGTTAATAGTTACAGTATGTTTTCAATATAATTCATAGAATTATTAAAAGTGCAGATCCGGATCCTGATCAATGTCCTATCTTTAGTAAACAGTTATAGGTTTAAATAAAAAGTTCTACCTAAAGAATTAATTTATCTGCTCAAATTAATCTGTATTGTATTTTTTAACTTCTTAAACTAAAATTTCGTTAATTCAACAAGAACGTTTTTAATTATGATATTCTTTTATTATTTTAGGATAAATTATCTTTTAACCTTTTGACTGATGTTTGCATACCAATTTCATTGCTCCTTGTCATAGTTATATGGGGCTATAAAATGGATGCAATGGGAGTGGATGCGGATGGTACATTAGTATTAGTGTATGGTATTGTACTCATTGTAGCAACTGGTGCAACATGTGGATATATCGCTTTGCGAATGACAGCTACACCAACATATAAACCAATTTCAATGTTACCTAGAGAGGTATTTATCCTTATAATTTAATTTTAAAAGGCCTCTCTTATCAATTTAGTTGTTTTTAATTATTAATAACGTAGTACTCAGAGACAATTTTATTAAATCTTGGGAAAATGATAATTATTAATTAATTTTGACTGAGCAAAAGAAGCAACATTAAGTTCATATAATTTTTTTTAAATTTACTTTATTATGTTTAGAAAAAAATTTGTTGAATGGATAATTAAAAAATTGTTTTATTGATTGCATATGAATGTGTTTCTAATTTAATTATATTACAGGTGAAGCATATTCCTTTAAAAAAGTCAAATTTTCAAATGAATTCTTATCAAACAATACCTGAAGTGCATCGAAACGGAAAAACCCCAACATTAACATTTATGGTTTGAATGAAAATCATACTTAAAAAAAAAAATAAATTCATTGAATTTATTATTTGTAAATAAAAGAAGTACAGAACTTATAGTTCATAATGAAAGTTTGTAATATTTGTAAACGTATCAGTATTACTATGATACTAACTCATGTATACTTAATATTCAACTTTCAAAATAGATATTATGTAAATATAAATGATTTGTTAATTTTTAAATATAATGAATCTTGATATAGTTTTCTATGCTTTTTATATATGAAATTGGACCAAAATAAATAAGCAATGTTGTAAAATGTGTATATTGTATAAAAAAATTAATATCCTATCTTCTTTTTAATTTTATTTTTTATGTACATTTTATTATTATATAATTTAGAAAGAATGCATATTAAAAATCAAATTTCATTCCAGTATCTTAATAATCAAACTAAATAAATTATGATGAATAATTATAGAACATAAACATTTTTATTAGTTATGTTGTAAAAAAAATTCTGTCAATTTGAATAATTTTTATCATTTGCCAATCAGTTTAATAGAACATTCNTGTCAATTTGAATAATTTTTATCATTTGCCAATCAGTTTAATAGAACATTCAAATTAATCTATATTAAAATTTATAAAAAATGAATAAACTATTAAAAAATAAATGTAGAAAATTTATTATAATCATTTTTATTATTCTCTCATTCTGGTTAAGACATGTTTTTATCTATTTAATTTATTTTAAAAAATTATATCAAATACGATTATTAAATATAAAAAGAGTTAGATACTGATAAGAATAAGAATTAAACTTTATTTGTTTTCTCTTAGTAAAAAAAATGTCACATTTATTAACATTTAATTAAAATCTACATATTTATAACTATAAACTTGAACTATTTATGTTATTGATACAATTAATTGTTAAAATAAATATATTTTATTATTAATAAATAATACTATTGCACGATAAAAATGAATTGCTTGTGGCTAATATTATTTAAAGTTAAAATTATATTAAGAATATATTCTGTCTGGGAGTCAGCATGTGTTTAGCGTTGATAGTGATAATATTATTTCCGAAATACGTAATCGCGATTTATTAGTGGTTTTTTGAGTTAAATAGTTTTTAGTTTTAAATTAATATTCTTAATATAGTTTTAATTTCAAATAATACTATTGCAATTTATAAATGTTTTTTTTTTCAAAAATAAAATTTCATATATTTTTTAAGTTTAAGTAAATTTTTTTTCTCCAAAATATGACGAAACACCTAAAAAGTAATTTGTTTTTGGTTCCAAAAAGTACGTAAATTAAAGGGGCATCTTTATATATGTTTAAATCAATTCAAATATTAAATAAAGTTTTATTATCATTAAAACTGTTATGTATTTCTACTGTGGCACTTTACCTTTATTGAAAAAATTAATAAAAACTGGCGTTTCAGTTCATATGGGTTCATCTACTTCTTTCATATTTACCTACGTATAAAGTAAAAAAATATCTATTGAAATTAACTTAAACACTATACTAGAAAATAAAATTGATACATTTTATTTTTAAATTTTGTTAACTAATTTTTGAGTATAAAACCTTTAAACTTTCTTTCTATTACTTTTTTCCGTTGGTGTCTCTAAAAAGTAATTTGACGTCTCTAAAAATAATAAAGTATCATAAATTTGATATGAAAACGCACATTAATTATAAATACGTAGTAAAATTAACTTCAATTTATTTACCTTTTATTAAAATAAATATTTGCATATTTGAGCACAATAAAAAATGTATACCTTAACAATTTTTTTCTATTACCATGTGTATATAAATCTCTTCAGGTTTAGAGTAATATTTACTCTCTGATAAAAAGTACAAAAATTGATTGAAATAAATATTTTAAACTAGAAATGTGTAACTGAATGAATTAGTATTTATTGGTTATAGTATGAAAACCTTTAGAGGTTATAAGATATTATGAGAGTAGTGTGGTGGACTGTGTTTTTTTTTTAGTTCCCCTTCAATTATTACAATATTAAAATTTTTAAATTTATCTATTTTCATATCTTAAAATATTAAAAAAAACACCTAGAGTTAAACAAATAAATTATTTAAATTTTTATATTGAATCGGAAGACTTGAATTTGTTGACTTGAATAAATTATGCGAAAATTTTCGTATACTCATTCTTAAATAGCTATTGTAATATTGATCCTATATATTTACTTCATTAATTATTTAATCTTGTTAAAAGTCCTCTTTCATATATATTGCATATGCTAGAGAGGTCGGTTGTACATAGTCCAGCACAACAGAATTGAAGCCCGGTACCTTTCAATAGAGGCACGATATGTTACGATATATATAAGATAAGGTAGAAGAAGGGAGAAAATCAGGCATTTATAAAATACAATGTGAAAGTAGTAATAAATGTTACGTAGGACAAACAAAAAGAACTATAGGAGTCAGGTTTAACGAGCACTGAAGAAACATTAAAAATCAAGAAGTTGAGAAAATTTCCAGTGGCTGAATATTTATTGACACATAATCACTCCATTACAACAAAAAAACTAATTAAAAACGTAAATAATTACAAATAACTTAATATTAGGGACGAAATAGAAATGTTTATAAATAAAAACAATTTACTTAATTGGGATCATGGCCCACTGAAAAATTCATTAATAACCTTGTGTGAACTGGCAAAATGTAATAATAATAACTATTGGGGGTATATAAGGGAATTTTTTTCTATCGGGGTGTCAGTGTATGTGTTTAGCGTTGATAATGGTAATATTGTTTCCGAAATACGTATTCACAACATTTCAGTAATTTTTTGTGGTTTTTGAGTTTAATATTTTTTAGTTTTTTTAAATTAATAATTATATTTTTAATATAGTATTAATTTTATTTAAAAGAGTTTTAATTTGCTGTTAAATTAATATTTTTTGATTTCGTGATTATATTCTAAATCTAAATTTAAAAAAAAAAACATATTGACTATATAATAAATTATAAGTATTATTCGAAAGATACAACCAAAATTGTATCAAAACAATTTTTCTTGTGGTTCTTATAAAGCTAAATTTATGTGTAAAAATTAATAATAATGAATATTTTAGAATTCAGTTGTCATTTATGATGCCTTTTGGAAATTTACACATCACTAATTGAGACTGAGAGTTGTTCACGATTGGATTACCGTTTTATTTTCAAGATAATAAATAACCTAAATGTAAATAATTTTTTTTTTAATTACTTCATAATATATTTTATAGTATGAATAATGATGTTTACTCAAAACGGCCCTTTTCAAGGTCACCCAGCGCTGACAGTTATGTCAATCATAATTGAAGGACTATCTAGTCCCAAAGAACTATTGATATCGGAACTAGGTGTCGAATGGAAGTGCGATATACTTTGCATCCAAGAAACTCATCGAGGTATAAATGACGAAGAAATATCCAGAAAACGCATCCCTAGAGGATGTAGATCACAATATGTGACGGGAATTGACATAGCCTCTTCAAGGCTTTTTGAAAAGTACAAACAAGAATTAGATAGAGACCCTTTCGCTGATAATACAATACTACTTGGACAGATTTGATGCAAGCGGTAAATGATAACAGAAGACAGAAATAGAAATCATTAGTGAAATATATGAAAATAACCCGAAACAGCAAAAAAACTTGGAATACCTTAAAACAGTTAAACGGGGATACAAAAACCATTAGACAACATAGTAATGTAACAGCAAATCAAGTCGCATATGTCCTTTTCAAAAATAGTAAACCTGAAAACAAAACAAAAAGAATACAAACGTCCAGTAACAAAGAAAATGAATGATCACTTATCCAAACAGACTTTAGCAAAGAAGAACTACTACATACAATAAAACAGATGAAAGAAGGTAAAGCATCCGAAATAGATGAAATACAAACAGAAATAATAAAACGCTTTGGAAAAAATACATAAGAATGGATATTGAAGTTTTTTAACGAATGCCGTAAAACAGTAAGAATCCCAAAACAATGGCTAAAGGCAAAAGTGATAGCACTATTAAAACCTAGGAAACTACCAAACGATCCAAAAAATTTAAGACCAAAATCGTTAATATGTTATATGTATAAGTTATATGAAAGAATAATATTGAACAGAATACCCTCAGTCATAGAAGGAAACCTAATTAAAAATCCAGATATTGAACCTAATATAGACCATTGAAGATGGGTTTGAAACAAAAAATATAACCGGAGCCGTGTTCATAGATTTGACTGCAGTATATGACACTGTTAATCATAACCTCTTACTGGACAAAGTATATAAAATAACTAAGGACTACCGAAACACGAAACAACCTAATAACGAAATTAACCAGGACAACGTGGGGAGCTAACCCCCAGTTGTTAAGAATCACAGCACTCGCCTTATGCTATTCACCTGGAGAGTAAGCATACCCAGTATGGAGTGGATCGTGCCATGCGAAAAAGGTAGATGTGGTTTTAAATGAAAATGGCACCTAATAACTGGATGCTTAAAAACCACACCCATACTTTTGGTACAAGTTCTAGGTGGCATAACACCCCCCGATATTAGAAGAAATTAAGGCCAGTGATTCTCAAAAACAGCCCAGGCAAATGATGAAAGACGCCCACTCCATAGACACCAATTGGCCAAAAGCAGACTGAAATCGAGCAAAAACTTTCTGAAATCAACTAAGGATATCACAACATCACTTGAGCATGAACGACATCGAAGATGGATAGCTCTGAACCTAACAAATAATTTTAAAATAAGGCCAATATAAAAACTTCCACCCGGATATCACAACGAATGGAACACCTGGAAAACACTGAAAGATTGAGAGTAGGTGTTGCCCGAACAAAGAAAAATCTACGTAAGTGGAGATACGATACGAGAACCGTAGATTCTATTTACTAGTGTGTCCCATAAATCCAGTGCTATGCACACCCGTAGATCTAGCGAATGCAACGAATGCGGCTATACAAGTAGCCAATCAATGGAGTAAAAAAGATTATAACAAAACAAAGAATCTATGTTAAAGCCAGGACACGATAAGTAGAAGAGGACTATATTTTAACAATTTATACAAAAAAAAAAGTAAGTTAATATATAAAAAAATTATTTGATTAATATCCTAATAAAGAAAAACAATTTACTTGATGGACTTTTACATAAAATATTTAAAATTTTATTTAATATAGGTATTAGGGTGGCGCAAAAAAAATTGACTTTA